CAGCCCACCAGCCCGGGATGCGCCCCTTATTTCAGTTGCCAGCACTCCCACCTCAGCCCCTATCGTTGGGCATGGCCTTTGAGCACTGAGGTTTGGGGGGGGAGGCTTGCTCTCCCTCCCCACCCGGCCACCACCAGGAAAAAAAAACAAAAAAAAAAGATGTAATAGCACAGTAGGGCAAGAATCTCGCAGTCGCTTTTTCTGTGTAATTAAAATTTCCCCGACGAAGGCAGAGCCTCTTGCAAGAATTATTTTATGCTCTGGGCCTCCGCCAGCTGAAGTTTGATTTTCTGGGGGAAGGGGGGCTTTGGGGCCTTCGACTGTGGGCAACGGGGACTTATTTCCCACGTGGGGAGGGGTGCGAAGGGTTGGGGGCAACATGGAGGGACAGGCTTGCCTCTGAATAGCAAGCACGTGGCAGGTCCGGTTGCCTTTGCGGTTAAATAGTTACGTCCCATGGACTCCGGATTTGAAGGGCTGGAGCATCTCCCCCATCTTTTGCCTCCCTGTCTTTTCTCTCCCCTCCCCGCAGCTCCTGCCGGGGCGTGCACCTCCGAAAAGCTCTCTTTCCTCCACGCTTGGAGAAAAGCCCTCGGCATCCGCCATGTCCGGCCTCAGTAGAGGCAGAGCGGGGGGGTTGCTGCAGGCGCGGCGTGAGAAACATCCCGACTGGCGCTGCGGAGAGGGACCTATCCTTGAGCTGCCCTGTCCCTCACCTCTTCTCTTTCGTTGGGATTTTTTGGGGTGGCTCTTGCTTCCCCCTCTGTGGTCTCGCCGCCTTGCTGGTATCCACATCAATCAGAGGCACTTCCCTCCCTGCCCCAGTCTGCCCAGTTAAAACCAGCTCAGTTTAGCTGATGGGCCCTGCCCGAGAGGGGTTTGGGATCACGCCTGCCGGAGGCCACCTGATCGTTGGTGGTCACCAAACCAAAGCAGCCAAGCACCCTCCTGAAAAACACCTCCCCACCACACCGCCTCACCGCTCGGAGAGAGCCTTGGGCATGCCGTGGCCGGGGACACAGTGGGACGTGGCCGGGGGGGGGCGGGCTCTAAGGTTCCTTT